ACTACCACTACCACTACGTACACACAACTACCCCATTACTACTACTACTACCACTACCACTACCACTACCTCTGCCTCTACCACTACGTACTCAACTACCTCATTACAACTACTACTACTACAACAACTATTACTACTACTACTACCACTACTACTACCACTACCACTACCACTACGTACACAACTACCTCATTACTACTACTAATACAACTATTACTACTACTACTACCACTACTACTACCACTACCACTACGTACACAACTACCTCATTACTACTACTACTACTACTACAACTATTACTACTACTACTACCACTACTACTACCACTACCACTACGTACACAACTACCTCATTACTACTACCACTACTACAACTATTACTACTACCACTACTACTACCACTAACACTACCACTACGTACTCAACTACCTCATTACTACTGCTACTACCACTACCACTACCACTACATACACAACTACCTCATTACTACTACTACTACTACTACTACTACTACTAATAATAATAATTACATCTATGTATAATTATACCTACTTTCAGAGGTTGCCCCAAGCCTAATCAGTGCAGGGCTGACTGCTCTCATTGGAAGACGAGATATGTAAGTATTAACCGTGGAATGGATGTACGTTACACTTTCCCTAGTTCTGTAATTTTCATCATTGACATGGATGTGTCTTCAACGTTTCTTTCGTTTGGTGAGGAAGCATTCACAAAAGGGTGAATATTTGCGATCAGTTGAATATATTTTAAAGGTAATCTGAGGGATTCTGGTACTTCAAAACGAAGTACAATACTTGTTGATAAAATAATTACACTCATTATACAATTGTATATATTAAATCTACTATTGTTGAATAAACAAAATATGAACCACACAAAACTAGTAAATCTACTACTGTCATGTTTATTTCCCATTCCAAATTCCAGCGATCGCAGAAACATCCTCGATGAACTGAAGAAAATCGCCGAAAGTAAGCATCCTTCTTATTTTAACTTCCGTGTATGCTTCTCAGTATTACTCAGATAAATCCAGTCAAGAAGAAATGATATAAATCACTGTCACACTGCATCTCTCAGTACAACACATTTTCGATTATGTAGGCATTGCTGATTCAGCTGCTTCTTCATATTTCCTGATCTGTTTCATTTTACAGGTATTCTGCAGGAGGTTGAGGGTGAGTATAATGGATATATTGACTGTTGTGGATAAACTTAAAGTGCAAAGGATAGAAGTCATAAAGAATTGTGCATATGTCAATTAAACAGAACGTTCGTGCATTTGTAGTATCGCTACCCAGTGTCCTTAAATACACAGATTAAATCCGGAGTAAGACGAAATCTCAGGAGTATATGTTACATATCACACTGTCACAATAATTTGTGTAGTTTATAAGCACTTGCCCTTGTTTCCAGTTCTGCTGCCCAAAGTGATTGAGAGTGCTTTGCCCGCTCTTCTATCTGGTATTGGTAAACGTGAAATGTGAGTGATATAGCTTGAATATCTGCTTATGATACAGTTATTATTGCCAGAAGATGTTTCTGGCTGAAATACATTTTCATATTCTTTGAGAGTAGACGTTGCCTTTATTCTAGTGAATATTTCAAATAATAGTTTCATAAAAATGTATTTGGATTCAGTATGTTTTTTTGTGAAAATGGATTTATTTATCCCAGTGAGAATATTTACACTATGTGGTTTATGTTTTAAACGCTGACGTAAAAGCTGTGTTAACACAACTTGAAAAGGAAATCCTCATACTGATTATAACATTGTACATATTTCATGTACTTGTCTAACTTAAGCAGTGTAGAAACCACACGAAACTAGTAAACCTACAGCTTGCATGTTTATTTCCCATTCCAAATTCCAGCGATCGCAGAAACATCCTCGATGAACTGAAGAAACTCGGCGAAAGTAAGCATCCTTCTTATTTTAACTTCCGTGTATGCTTCTACCATTCAGCAGTTATCAGTATTACTCAGATAAATCCAATCAAGAAGAAATGATATAGATAACTGTCTCACAACATCGCTGAGTACAAGACATTTTCGATTATGTAGGCATTGCTGATTCAGCTGCTTCTTCATATTTCCTGATCTGTTTCATTTTACAGGTATTCTGAAGGAGGTTGAGGGTGAGTATACTGGATATATTGACTGTTGTGGATAAACTTTAAGCTACACAGGATAGAAATCATAAAGAATTGTGCATATTTCATTTAAAAAGAACGTTCGTGCAATTTGTAGTATCGCTACCCAGTGTCAAGACTTAAAATCACAAATAAAAGCCTGAGTAAGACCAAATCTCAGGAGTATATGTTACATATCACAATATCACAATATTTTGTGTGGTTTATAAGCTCTTGTATTTATTTCCAGTTGTAGCGCCCAAAGTGATTGAGAGTGCTTTGCCCGCTCTTCTATCTGGTATTGGTAAACGTGAAATGTGAGTGATATAGCTGGAATATCTGCTTATGATACAGTTAGTATTGCCGGAAGATGTTTCGCTGAAATACATTTTCATATTCTTTTGAGAGTAGACGTTGCCTTTATTCTAGTAAATATTTCGAATAATAGTTTCATGAAATTTATTTGGATTCATGTTTTTTTGTTGTCTTGAATATGGATTTTTTCATCCCAGTGAGAATATTTACACTGTGTGGTTTATGTTTAAATGCTGACGTAAAAGCTGTGTTAACACAACTTAAAAAGGAAATCCTCACACTGATTATAACATTGTACATATATCATGTACTTGTCTAACTTAAGCAGTGTAGAAACCACACGAAACTGATTAAACCTACAGCTTGCATGTTTATTTCCCATTCGAAATTCCAGCGATCGCAGAAACATCCTCGATGAACTGAAGAAACTCGGCGAAAGTAAGCATCCTTCTTATTTTAACTTCCGTGTATGCTTCTACCATTCAGCAGTTATCAGTATTACTCAGATAAATCCAATCAAGAAGAAATGATATAAATCACTGTCACACTGCATCTCTCAGTACATCACATTTTCGATTATGTAGGCATTGCTGATTCAGCTGCTTCTTCATATTTCCTGATCTGTTTCATTTTACAGGTATTCTGCAGGAGGTTGAGGGTGAGTATACTGGATATATCGACTGTTGTGGACAAACTTAAAGTGCTAAGGATAGAAGTCATAAAGAATTGTGCATATGTCAATTAAACAAAACGTTCGTGCATTTGTAGTATCGCTACCCAGTGTCCTTAAATACACAGATAAAAGCCTGAGTAAGACGAAATCTCAGGAGTATATGTTACATATCACAATGTCACAATAACTTGTGTAGTTTATAAGCACTTGTCCTTGTTTCCAGTTCTACTGCCCAAAGTGATTGAGAGTGCTTTGCCCGCTCTTCTATCTGGTTTTGGTAAACGTGAAATGTGAGTGATATAGCTTGAATATCTGCTTATGATACAGTTAGTATTGCCAGAAGATGTTTCGCTAAAATACATTTTCATATTCTTTTGAAAGTAGACGTTGTCTTTATTCTAGTAAATATTTCGAATAATAGTTTCATGAAATGTATTGGGATTCATTTTGTTATTGTTGTGAATATGGAGTTTTTCATCCCAGTGAGAATATTTACACTGTGTGGTTTATGTTTTAAATGCTGACGTAAAAGCTGTGTTAACACAACTTAAAAAGGAAATCCTCACACTGATTATAACATTGTACATATATCATGTACTTGTCTAACTTAAGCAGTGTAGAAACCACACGAAACTGATTAAACCTACAGCTTGCATTTTTATTTCCCATTCGAAATTCCAGCGATCGCAGAAACATCCTCGATGAACTGAAGAAACTCGGCGAAAGTAAGCATCCTTCTTATTTTAACTTCCGTGTATGCTTCTTCCATTCAGCAGTTATCAGTATTACTCAGATAAATCCAATCAAGAAGACATGATATAAATAACTGTCTCACAACATCGCTGAGTACAAGACATTTTCGATTATGTAGGCATTGCTGATTCAGCTGCTTCTTCATATTTCCTGATCTGTTTCATTTTACAGGTATTCTGCAGGAGGTTGAGGGTGAGTATACTGGATATATCGACTGTTGTGGATAAACTGAAAGTGCTAAGGATAGAAGTCATAAAGAATTGTGCATATATCAATTAAACATAACGTTCGTGCATTTGCAGTATCGCTACCCAGTGTCCTTAAATACACAGATAAAATCCTGAGTAAGATCAAATCTCAGGAGTATATGTTACATATCACAATGTCACAATAATTTGTGTAGTTTATAAGCACTTGCCCTTGTTTCCAGTTCTGCTGCCCAAAGTGATTGAGAGTGCTTTGCCCGCTCTTCTATCTGGTATTGGTAAACGTGAAATGTGAGTGATATAGCTGGAATATCTGCTTATGATACAGTTAGTATTGCCAGAAGATGTTTCGCTGAAATACATTTTCATATTCTTTTGAGAGTAGACGTTGCCTTTATTCTAGTAAATATTTCAAATAATAGTTTCATGAAATTTATTTGGATTCAGTTGTTTTTTGTGAAAATGGATTTATTTATCCCAGTGAGAATATTTACACTGTCTGCTTTATGTTTTAAACGCTGACGTAAAAGCTGTGTTAACACAACTTGAAAAGGAAATCCTCATACTGATTATAACATTGTACATATTTCATGTACTTGTCTAACTTAAGCAGTGTAGAAACCACACGAAACTAGTACACCTACAGCTTGCATGTTTATTTCCCATTCCAAATTTCAGCGATCGCAGAAACATCCTCGATGAACTGAAGAAAATCGGCGAAAGTAAGCATCCTTCGTATTTTAACTTCCGTGTATGTTTCTACCATTCAGCAGTTATCAGTATTACTCAGATAAATCCAGTCAAGAAGAAATGATATAAATCACTGTCACACTGCATCTCTCAGTACAAGACATTTTCGATTATGTAGGCATTGCTGATTCAGCTGCTTCTTCATATTTCCTGATCTGTTTCATTTTACAGGTATTCTGCAGGAGGTTGAGGGTGAGTATACTGGATATATTGACTGTTGTGGATAAACTTAAAGTGCAAAGGATAGAAGTCATAAAGAATTGTGCATATGTCAATTAAACAGAAAGTTCGTGCATTTGTAGTATCGCTACCCAGTGTCCTTAAATACACAGATTAAATCCTGAGTAAGACCAAATCTCAGGAGTATATGTTACATATCACAATGTCACAATAATTTGTGTAGTTTATAAGCACTTGCCCTTGTTTCCAGTTCTGCTGCCCAAAGTGATTGAGAGTGCTTTGCCCGCTCTTCTATCTGGTATTGGTAAACGTGAAATGTGAGTGATATAGCTGGAATATCTGCTTATGATACAGTTAGTATTGCCAGAAGATGTTTCGCTGAAATACATTTTCATATTCTTTTGAGAGTAGACGTTGCCTTTATTCTAGTAAATATTTCAAATAATAGTTTCATGAAATTTATTTGGATTCAGTTTGTTTTTTTGTGAAAATGGATTTATTTATCCCAGTGAGAATATTTACACTATGTGGTTTATGTTTTAAACGCTGACGTAAAAGCTGTGTTAATACAACTTGAAAAGGAAATCCTCATACTGATTATAACATTGTACATATTTCATGTACTTGTGTAGCTTAAGCAGTGTAGAAACCACACGAAACTAGTAAACCTACAGCTTGCATGTTTATTTCCCATTCCAAATTCCAGCGATCGCAGAAACATCCTCGATGAACTGGAGAAAATCGGCGAAAGTAAGCATCCTTCTTATTTTAACTTCCGGGTATGCTTCTACCATTCAGCAGTTATCAGTATTACTCAGATAAATCCAGTCAAGAAGAAATGATATAAATAACTGTCACACAACATCGCTGAGTACAAGACATTTTCGATTATGTAGGCATTGCTGATTCAGCTGCTTCTTGATATTTCCTGATCTGTTTCATTTTACAGTTATTCTGAAGCAGATTGGGGGTGAGTATACTGGGTATATTGACTGTTGTGGACAAACTTAAGCTACACAGGATAGAAATCATAAAGAATTGTGCATATTTCATTTAAAAAGAACGTTCGTGCAATTGTTGTATCGCTACATATTGTCAAGACTTAAAATCACAGATAAAAGCCTGAGTAAGACCAAATCTCAGGAGTATATGTTACATATCACAATATCAGAATATTTTGTGTAGCTTATAAGGAGTTGCCCTTGTTTGCAGTTCTGCTGCCCACAGTGATTGAGAGTGCTTTGCCCGCTCTTCTATCTGGTATTGGTAAACGTGAAATGTGAGTGATATAGCTGGAATGTCTGCTTATGATACAGTTAGTATTGCCAGAAGATGTTTCGCTGAAATACATTTTCATATTCTTTTGAGAGTAGACGTTGCCTTTATTCTAGTAAATATTTCAAATAATAGTTTCATGAAATGTATTGGGATTCATTTTGTTATTGTTGTGAATATGGAGTTTTTCATCCCAGTGAGAATATTTACACTGTGTGGTTTATGTTTTAAACGCTGACGTAAAAGCTGTGTTAATACAACTTGAAAAGGAAATCCTCATACTGATTATAGCATTGTACATATTTCATGTACTTGTATAACTTAAGCAGTGTAGAAACCACACGAAACTAGTAAACCTACAGCTTGCATGTTTATTTCCCTTTCCAAATTCCAGCGATCGCAGAAACATCCTCGATGAACTGAAGAAAATCGCCGAAAGTAAGCATCCTTCTTATTTTAACTTCCGTGTATGCTTCTTCCATTCAGCAGTTATCAGTATTACTCAGATAAATCCAGTCAAGAAGACATGATATAAATAACTGTCTCACAACATCGCTGAGTACAAGACATTTTCGATTATGTAGGCATTGCTGATTCAGCTGCTTCTTCATATTTCCTGATCTGTTTCATTTTACAGGTATTCTGCAGGAGGTTGAGGGTGAGTATACTGGATATATCGACTGTTGTGGATAAACTGAAAGTGCTAAGGATAGAAGTCATAAAGAATTGTGCATATATCAATTAAACAGAACGTTCGTGCATTTGCAGTATCGCTACCCAATGTCCTTAAATACACAGATTAAATCCGGAGTAAGACGAAATCTCAGGAGTATATGTTACATATCACAATGTCACAATAATTTGTGTAGTTTATAAGCACTTGCCCTTGTTTGCAGTTCTGCTGCCCAAAGTGATTGAGAGTGCTTTGCCCGCTCTTCTATCTGGTATTGGTAAACGTGAAATGTGAGTGATATAGCTGGAATATCTGCTTATGATACAGTTAGTATTGCCAGAAGATGTTTCGCTGAAATACATTTTCATATTCTTTTGAGAGTAGACGTTGCCTTTATTCTAGTAAATATTTCAAATAATAGTTTCATAAAATGTATTTGGATTCAGTATGTTTTTTTTGTGAAAATGGATTTATTTATCACAGTGAGAATATTTACACTATGTGGTTTATGTTTTAAACGCTGACGTAAAAGCTGTGTTAACACAACTTGAAAAGGAAATCCTCATACTGATTATAACATTGTACATATTTCATGTACTTGTATAACTTAAGCAGTGTAGAAACCACACGAAACTAGTAAACCTACAGCTTGCATGTTTATTTCCCTTTCCAAATTCCAGCGATCGCAGAAACATCCTCGATGAACTGAAGAAAATCGGCGAAAGTAAGCATCCTTCTTATTTTAACTTCCGTGTATGCTTCTTCCATTCAGCAGTTATCAGTATTACTCAGATAAATCCAGTCAAGAAGACATGATATAAATAACTGTCTCACAACATCGCTGAGTACAAGACATTTTCAATTATGTAGGCATTGCTGATTCAGCTGCTTCTTCATATTTCCTGATCTGTTTCATTTTACAGGTATTCTGCAGGAGGTTGGGGGTGAGTATACTGTATATATTTACTGTTGTGGATAAATTTAAGCTACACAGGATAGAAATCATAAAGAATTGTGCATATTTCATTTAAAAAGAACGTTCGTGCAATTGTAGTATCGCTACATATTATCAAGACTTAAAAATCACAAATTAAAGCCTGAGTAAGACCAAATCTCAGGAGTATATGTTACATATCACAATATCAGAATATTTTGTGTAGCTTATAAGCACTTGCCCTTGTTTGCAGATCTGCTGCCCAAAGTGATTGAGAGTGCTTTGCCCGCTCTTCTATCTGGTATTGGTAAACGTGAAATGTGAGTGATATAGCTGGAATATCTGCTTATGATACAGTTAGTATTGCCAGAAGATGTTTCGCTGAAATACATTTTCATATTCTTTTGAGAGTAGACGTTGCCTTTATTCTAGTAAATATTTCAAATGATAGTTTGATGAAATTTATTTGGATTCAGTTTTTGTTGTCTTTAATATGGATTTATTCATCCCAGTGAGAATATTTACACTGTGTGGTTTATGTTTTATGCTGACGTAAAAGCTGTGTTAACACAACTTGAAAAGGAAATCCTCACACTGATTATAACATTGTACATATATCATGTACTTGTCTAACTTAAGCAGTGTAGAAACCACACGAAACTAGTAAACCTACAGCTTGCATGTTTATTTCCCATTCCAAATTCCAGCGATCGCAGAAACATCCTCGATGAACTGAAGAAACTCGGCGAAAGTAAGCATCCTTCTTATTTTAACTTCCGTGTATGCTTCTTCCATTCAGCAGTTATCAGTATTACTCAGATAAATCCAGTCAAGAAGACATGATATAAATAACTGTCTCACAACATCGCTGAGTACAAGACATTTTCAATTATGTAGGCATTGCTGATTCAGCTGCTTCTTCATATTTCCTGATCTGTTTCATTTTACAGGTATTCTGAAGCAGGTTGGGGTGAGTATACTGGGTATATATTTACTGTTGTGGACAAACTTAAGCTACACAGGATAGAAATCATAAAGAATTGTGCATATTTCATTTAAAAAGAACGTTCGTGCAATTGTAGTATCGCTACATATTATCAAGACTTAAAATCACAGATAAAAGCCTGAGTAAGACCAAATCCCAGGAGTATATGTTACATATCACAATATCAGAATATTTTGTGTAGCTTATAAGCACTTGCCCTTGTTTGCAGATCTACTGCCCACAGTGATTGAGAGTGCTTTGCCCGCTCTTCTATCTGGTATTGGTAAACGTGAAATGTGAGTGATATAGCTGGAATGTCTGCTTATGATACAGTTAGTATTGCCGGAAGATGTTTCGCTGAAATACATTTTCATATTCTTTTGAGAGTAGACGTTGCCTTTATTCTAGTAAATATTTCAAATAATAGTTTCATGAAATTTATTTGGATTCATGTTTTTGTTGTCTTTAATATGGAGTTTTTCATCCCAGTGAGAATATTTACACTGTGTGGTTTATGTTTATGCTGACGTAAAAGCTGTGTTAACACAACTTAAAAAGGAAATCCTCACACTGATTATAACATTGTACATATATCATGTACTTGTCTAACTTAAGCAGTGTAGAAACCACACGAAACTAGTAAACCTACAGCTTGCATGTTTATTTCCCATTCCAAATTCCAGCGATCGCAGAAACATCCTCGATGAACTGAAGAAACTCGGCGAAAGTAAGCATCCTTCTTATTTTAACTTCCCTGTATGCTTCTTCCATTCAGCAGTTATCAGTATTACTCAGATAAATCCAGTCAAGAAGACATGATATAAATAACTGTCTCACAACATCGCTGAGTACAAGACATTTCAATTATGTAGGCATTGCTGATTCAGCTGCTTCTTCATATTTCCTGATCTGTTTCATTTTACAGGTATTCTGAAGCAGGTTGGGGGTGAGTATACTGGGTATACTTACTGTTGTGGACAAACTTAAGCTACACAGGATAGAAATCATAAAGAATTGTGCATATTTCATTTAAAAAGAACGTTCGTGCAATTGTAGTATCGCTACATATTATCAAGACTTAAAATCACAGATAAAAGCCTGAGTAAGACCAAATCCCAGGAGTATATGTTACATATCACAATATCAGAATATTTTGTGTAGCTTATAAGCACTTGCCCTTGTTTGCAGATCTGCTGCCCACAGTGATTGAGAGTGCTTTGCCCGCTCTTCTATCTGGTATTGGTAAACGTGAAATGTGAGTGATATAGCTGGAATATCTGCTTATGATACAGTTAGTATTGCCAGAAGATGTTTCGCTGAAATACATTTTCATATTCTTTTGAAAGTAGACGTTGCCTTTATTCTAGTAAATATTTCGAATAATAGTTTCATGAAATTTATTTGGATTCATGTTTTTGTTGTCTTTAATATGGAGTTTTTCATCCCAGTGAGAATATTTACACTGTGTGGTTTATGTTTATGCTGACGTAAAAGCTGTGTTAACACAACTTAAAAAGGAAATCCTCACACTGATTATAACATTGTACATATATCATGTACTTGTCTAACTTAAGCAGTGTAGAAACCACACGAAACTAGTAAACCTACAGCTTGCATGTTTATTTCCCATTCCAAATTCCAGCGATCGCAGAAACATCCTCGATGAACTGAAGAAACTCGGCGAAAGTAAGCATCCTTCTTATTTTAACTTCCGTGTATGCTTCTTCCATTCAGCAGTTATCAGTATTACTCAGATAAATCCAGTCAAGAAGACATGATATAAATAACTGTCTCACAACATCGCTGAGTACAAGACATTTTCAATTATGTAGGCATTGCTGATTCAGCTGCTTCTTCATATTTCCTGATCTGTTTCATTTTACAGGTATTCTGAAGCAGGTTGGGGGTGAGTATACTGGGTATATTTACTGTTGTGGACAAACTTAAGCTACACAGGATAGAAATCATAAAGAATTGTGCATATTTCATTTAAAAAGAACGTTCGTGCAATTGTAGTATCGCTACATATTATCAAGACTTAAAATCACAGATGAAAGCCTGAGTAAGACCAAATCCCAGGAGTATATGTTACATATCACAATATCAGAATATTTTTGTGTAGCTTATAAGCACTTGCCCTTGTTTGCAGATCTGCTGCCCACAGTGATTGAGAGTGCTTTGCCCGCTCTTCTATCTGGTATTGGTAAACGTGAAATGTGAGTGATATAGCTGGGATATCTGCTTATGATACAGTTAGTATTGCCAGAAGATGTTTCGCTGAAATACATTTTCATATTCTTTTGAAAGTAGACGTTGCCTTTATTCTAGTAAATATTTCGAATAATAGTTTCATGAAATTTATTTGGATTCATGTTTTGTTGTCTTTAATATGGAGTTTTCATCCCAGTGAGAATATTTACACTGTGTGGTTTATGTTTATGCTGACGTAAAAGCTGTGTTAACACAACTTAAAAAGGAAATCCTCACACTGATTATAACATTGTACATATATCATGTACTTGTCTAACTTAAGCAGTGTAGAAACCACACGAAACTAGTAAACCTACAGCTTGCATGTTTATTTCCCATTCCAAATTCCAGCGATCGCAGAAACATCCTCGATGAACTGAAGAAACTCGGCGAAAGTAAGCATCCTTCTTATTTTAACTTCCCTGTATGCTTCTTCCATTCAGCAGTTATCAGTATTACTCAGATAAATCCAGTCAAGAAGACATGATATAAATAACTGTCTCACAACATCGCTGAGTACAAGACATTTTCAATTATGTAGGCATTGCTGATTCAGCTGCTTCTTCATATTTCCTGATCTGTTTCATTTTACAGGTATTCTGAAGCAGATTGGGGGTGAGTATACTGGGTATACTTTACTGTTGTGGACAAACTTAAGCTACACAGGATAGAAATCATAAAGAATTGTGCATATTTCATTTAAAAAGAACGTTCGTGCAATTGTAGTATCGCTACATATTATCAAGACTTAAAATCACAAATAAAAGCCTGAGTAAGACCAAATCCCAGGAGTATATGTTACATATCACAATATCAGAATATTTTGTGTAGCTTATAAGCACTTGCCCTTGTTTGCAGATCTGCTGCCCACAGTGATTGAGAGTGCTTTGCCCGCTCTTCTATCTGGTATTGGTAAACGTGAAATGTGAGTGATATAGCTGGAATGTCTGCTTATGATACAATTAGTATTGCCAGAAGATGTTTCGCTGAAATACATTTTCATATTCTTTTGAAAGTAGACGTTGCCTTTATTCTAGTAAATATTTCGAATAATAGTTTCATGAAATTTATTTGGATTCATGTTTTTGTTGTCTTTAATATGGAGTTTTTCATCCCAGTGAGAATATTTACACTGTGTGGTTTATGTTTATGCTGACGTAAAAGCTGTGTTAACACAACTTAAAAAGGAAATCCTCACACTGATTATAACATTGTACATATATCATGTACTTGTCTAACTTAAGCAGTGTAGAAACCACACGAAACTAGTAAACCTACAGCTTGCATGTTTATTTCCCATTCCAAATTCCAGCGATCGCAGAAACATCCTCGATGAACTGAAGAAACTCGGCGAAAGTAAGCATCCTTCTTATTTTAACTTCCGTGTATGCTTCTTCCATTCAGCAGTTATCAGTATTACTCAGATAAATCCAGTCAAGAAGACATGATATAAATAACTGTCTCACAACATCGCTGAGTACAAGACATTTTCAATTATGTAGGCATTGCTGATTCAGCTGCTTCTTCATATTTCCTGATCTGTTTCATTTTACAGGTATTCTGAAGCAGGTTGGGGGTGAGTATACTGGGTATATTTACTGTTGTGGACAAACTTCAGCTACACAGGATAGAAATCATAAAGAATTGTGCATATTTCATTTAAAAAGAACGTTCGAGCAATTGTAGTATCGCTACATATTATCAAGACTTAAAATCACAGATGAAAGCCTGAGTAAGACCAAATCCCAGGAGTATATGTTACATATCACAATATAAGAATATTTTGTGTAGCTTATAAGCACTTGCCCTTGTTTGCAGATCTGCTGCCCACAGTGATTGAGAGTGCTTTGCCCGCTCTTCTATCTGGTATTGGTAAACGTGAAATGTGAGTGATATAGCTGGGATATCTGCTTATGATACAGTTAGTATTGCCAGAAGATGTTTCGCTGAAATACATTTTCATATTCTTTTGAAAGTAGACGTTGCCTTTATTCTAGTAAATATTTCGAATAATAGTTTCATGAAATTTATTTGGATTCATGTTTTTGTTGTCTTTAATATGGAGTTTTTCATCCCAGTGAGAATATTTACACTGTGTGGTTTATGTTTATGCTGACGTAAAAGCTGTGTTAACACAACTTAAAGGAAATCCTCACACTGATTATAACATTGTACATATATCATGTACTTGTCTAACTTAAGCAGTGTAGAAACCACACGAAACTAGTAAACCTACAGCTTGCATGTTTATTTCCCTTTCCAAATTCCAGCGATCGCAGAAACATCCTCGATGAACTGAAGAAACTCGGCGAAAGTAAGCATCCTTCTTATTTTAACTTCCCTGTATGCTTCTTCCATTCAGCAGTTATCAGTATTACTCAGATAAATCCAGTCAAGAAGACATGATATAAATAACTGTCTCACAACATCGCTGAGTACAAGACATTTCAATTATGTAGGCATTGCTGATTCAGCTGCTTCTTCATATTTCCTGATCTGTTTCATTTTACAGGTATTCTGAAGCAGATTGGGGGTGAGTATACTGGGTATACTTACTGTTGTGGACAAACTTAAGCTACACAGGATAGAAATCATAAAGAATTGTGCATATTTCATTTAAAAAGAACGTTCGTGCAATTGTAGTATCGCTACATATTATCAAGACTTAAAATCACAAATAAAAGCCTGAGTAAGACCAAATCCCAGGAGTATATGTTACATATCACAATATCAGAATATTTTGTGTAGCTTATAAGCACTTGCCCTTGTTTGCAGATCTGCTGCCCACAGTGATTGAGAGTGCTTTGCCCGCTCTTCTATCTGGTATTGGTAAACGTGAAATGTGAGTGATATAGCTGGAATGTCTGCTTATGATACAATTAGTATTGCCAGAAGATGTTTCGCTGAAATACATTTTCATATTCTTTTGAAAGTAGACGTTGCCTTTATTCTAGTAAATATTTCGAATAATAGTTTCATGAAATTTTTGGGATTCATGTTTTTGTTGTCTTTAATATGGAGTTTTCATCCCAGTGAGAATATTTACACTGTGTGGTTTATGTTTATGCTGACGTAAAAGCTGTGTTAACACAACTTAAAAAGGAAATCCTCACACTGATTATAACATTGTACATATATCATGTACTTGTCTAACTTAAGCAGTGTAGAAACCACACGAAACTAGTAAACCTACAGCTTGCATGTTTATTTCCCATTCCAAATTCCAGCGATCGCAGAAACATCCTCGATGAACTGAAGAAACTCGGCGAAAGTAAGCATCCTTCTTATTTTAACTTCCCTGTATGCTTCTTCCATTCAGCAGTTATCAGTATTACTCAGATAAATCCAGTCAAGAAGACATGATATAAATAACTGTCTCCACAACATCGCTGAGTACAAGACATTTTCAATTATGTAGGCATTGCTGATTCAGCTGCTTCTTCATATTTCCTGATCTGTTTCATTTTACAGGTATTCTGAAGCAGGTTGGGGGTGAGTATACTGGGTATATTTACTGTTGTGGACAAACTTCAGCTACACAGGATAGAAATCATAAAGAATTGTGCATATTTCATTTAAAAAGAACGTTCGAGCAATTGTAGTATCGCTACATATTATCAAGACTTAAAATCACAGATGAAAGCCTGAGTAAGACCAAATCCCAGGAGTATATGTTACATATCACAATATAAGAATATTTTGTGTAGCTTATAAGCACTTGCCCTTGTTTGCAGATCTGCTGCCTACAGTGATTGAGAGTGCTTTGCCCGCTCTTCTATCTGGTATTGGTAAACGTGAAATGTGAGTGATATAGCTGGAATGTCTGCTTATGATACAATTAGTATTGCCAGAAGATGTTTCGCTGAAATACATTTTCATATTCTTTTGAAAGTAGACGTTGCCTTTATTCTAGTAAATATTTCGAATAATAGTTTCATGAAATTTATTTGGATTCATGTTTTTGTTGTCTTTAATATGGAGTTTTTCATCCCAGTGAGAATATTTACACTGTGTGGTTTATGTTTATGCTGACGTAAAAGCTGTGTTAACACAACTTAAAAGGAAATCCTCACACTGATTATAACATTGTACATATATCATATCATACTTGTCTAACTTAAGCAGTGTAGAAACCACAATGAAACTGATTAAACCTACAGCTTGCATTTTTATTTCCCATTCGAAATTCCAGCGATCGCAGAAACATCCTCGATGAACTGAAGAAACTCGGCGAAAGTAAGCATCCTTCTTATTTTAACTTCCCTGTATGCTTCTTCCATTCAGCAGTTATCAGTATTACTCAGATAAATCCAGTCAAGAAGACATGATATAAATAACTGTCTCACAACATCGCTGAGTACAAGACATTTTCAATTATGTAGGCATTGCTGATTCAGCTGCTTCTTCATATTTCCTGATCTGTTTCATTTTACAGGTATTCTGCAGGAGGTTGAGGGTGAGTATACTGGATATATCGACTGTTGTGGATAAACTTAAAGTTCTAAGGATAGAAGTCATAAAGAATTGTGCATACTAGTATATCGATTAAACGGAACGTTCGTGCATTTGTAGTATCGCTACCCAATGTCCTTAAATGCACAGATTAAATCCGGAGTAAGACCAAATCCCAGGAGTATATGTTTCATATCACAATATCAGAATATTTTGCATAGTTTATAAGCACTTGCCCTTGTTTGCAGATCTGCTGCCCAAAGTGATTGAGAGTGCTTTGCCCGCTCTTCTATCTGGTATTGGTAAACGTGAAATGTGAGTGATATAGCTGGAATGTCTGCTTATGATACAATTAGTATTGCCAGAAGATGTTTCGCTGAAATACATTTTCATATTCTTTTGAAAGTAGACGTTGCCTTTATTCTAGTAAATATTTCGAATAATAGTGTCATGAAATGTATTGGGATTCATTTTGTTATTGTTGTGAATATGGAGTTTTTCATCCAAGTGAGAATATTTACACTGTGTGGTTTATGTTTATGCTGACGTAAAAGCTGTGTTAACACAACTTAAAAAGGAAATCCTCACACTGATTATAACATTGTACATATATCATGTACTTGTCTAACTTAAGCAGTGTAGAAACCACACGAAACTGATTAAACCTACAGCTTGCATTTTTATTTCCCTTTCCAAATTCCAGCGATCGCAGAAACATCCTCGATGAACTGAAGAAACTCGGCGAAAGTAAGCATCCTTCTTATTTTAACTTCCCTGTATGCTTCTTCCATTCAGCAGTTATCAGTATTACTCAGATAAATCCAATCAAGAAGACATGATATAAATAACTGTCTCACAACATCGCTGAGTACAAGACATTTCAATTATGTAGGCATTGCTGATTCAGCTGCTTCTTCATATTTCCTGATCTGTTTCATTTTACAGGTATTCTGCAGGAGGTTGAGGGTGAGTATACTGAATATATCGACTGTTGTGGATAAACTTAAGCTACACAGGATAGAAATCATAAAGAATTGTGCATATTTCATTTAAAAGGAACGTTCGTGGAATTGTAGTATCGCTACATATTATCAAGACTAAATCTCAGGAGTATGTTACATATCTCAGTAGATAGAAGTCATATAGAATTGTGCATATTTCAATTCAACAAAACATTCGTGCACTTGTAGTATCGCTACCCAGTGTCCTCAGGCGTATATGTTACATGTCACAATATCACAATAGTTTGTGTAGTTTATAAGTACTTGCCCTTGTTTCCAGTTCTGCTGCCCAAAGTGATTGAGAGTGCTTTGCCCGCTCTTCTATCTGGTATTGGTAAACGTGAAATGTGAGTGATATAGCTGGGATATGTGTTGATCATAAATTCGGGATCGGAAAATTAACTGATACTTTTGCCGGAATATCTAATGATTACGAAAGAAGATATTTGCTTTTATTCTTGAATTATTTTATAAATCTGGATACCAATCTTTTCGTTATCATTTGGAGTTTGTAGACATTTAACTGCCAACCATTTAATATCCGTCTCTCACAGGGAGAGGAGGAATATCTTTGATGATATAAAGAAAGGTCTGGAAAATATCGGGAATGCCATCGCAACTGCCGCCAAAGGTTAGATGTTGTCTACTCAGAGTAACACCATTGTCGCTTCCTGTTTTACAGAACGTATTCAAAGTATACCTACATTTACACAGTTTGTTTCCTTATTTGAATGAGTACGTTGGTGACATGCTTGATAGCAAATTTCCAGCAGGCTCACCAAGAATATGTTTCATATTGTATGCCCGGAGCCACATGGAGCCCCCATTGCAGGTGTCAATACACACAATTACCTTGTACTGTACATACATGCATAAAATACAATTTAGTCTGTTTTATGATTGATTTATATTGAACCTTACCAATACAAATGAGAAAAATATACAATAACTTTTCTCTAGCCGCTCTACCCGTTGTCGAAGAGATTGGAAAACGTAAGTGTATACACAATTCTATAAGTGTGAGAATATGCTTCTCAGTTACGAAAAACCCCATAAAATACGTGTTCCCTCTACTCGAAATACGAAAAAAATCTTTACTAAACCGATAAATATGCGTCTGCGTGAAATATAAGCAATAATACAAGTTATTCAATTAAAAAATAAATAAATGTAAAATGAAAAGTCTCTAACTGTCAGACATTGCTTTAATACAACAAATGTGGAATAGAAGTTATTTGTGTAAAGATACCAAAAACGTTTGTTTCAGAGATTCTCCCGGTTGCTGAAAGTGAGTTACATACGTAATATTGCCACAACAAATACTGTTCACAGAGGAAACACTGTTTCCCTTTCCTCTGTTCAGATCTCAAATACACAACTCTCTTCACTGGATCACCTGCCATATCCCTAAACCATACCTGACATTGATACAACACTTATTTACTTCCCACTGCTACCGCTCCTACAACTACTACTACCGCCACTGCTACTGCTCCTACAACACCTCCTACTGTTACTGCTACCGCTCCTACAACACTCTACTACTACACTGCTACCGGCTCCTACAGCTACTACTACTGCCACTGCTACCGCTCCACTGCTACTACTGCTTACTGCTACTGCTCCTACAACAACTACTACTGCTACTTACTTACTGCTTACTGCTACCGCTCATACAACAACCTACTACTGCTACTGCTACTACCACTGCTCCTACAACAACTACTACTACTGCCTACTGCTACCTCTCCCTACAACAACTACTACTGCCACTGCTACCGCTCCTACAACTACTACTACCGCCACTGCTACTGCTCTTGCAACACCTACTACTGCCACTGCTACTAATCTCACCACATTACAACTACTACTGCTACTGCTACCGCTCCTACAGCTACTACTACCGCCACTGCTACTGCTCCTACAACTACTACTACTGCTACTGCTACCCTGCTCCTACAACAACCACTCACTGCCACTGCTACTGCCTACAACAACTACTACTGCCTGAAGCCACCACTACTACCGCACTGTAGCTCCTACAACCACTACTACCGCCACTGCTACCGCTCCTACAACACCTACTACTGCTACTGCTACCGCTCCTACAACAACTACTACTGCTACTGCTAAGCACCCTCCTACAACAACTACCACTGCTACCACCTGCTCCTCCTACAACAACTACTACTGCCACTGCTACCGCTCTACAACAACTACTACTGCTACTGCTACCACTCCTACAACAACTACTACTGCCATCATACCTTCCTACAACCACCTACTACTGCTACCCCACTGTACCTTTCCTACAACAACTTCTACTGCCACTGCCATACCTCTCCTCCGACAACTACTACCGCCACTGCAACCCTCCAACGACAACTACTACGCCACTGCCAAATCTGCACTGCAGCTACCAGTTTCCAAACCACTGCTACTGCATCCCTACTGCAGTAGCCAACAAACTACTGCTACTGCTATTCTACTACAGCAGTTGAATCAAGCCACTACTCGCTACCTACTGCACCTACTCTACTGCAGTTAACATCTACTGCTACTGCTACCTCTACTGCGGTTAAAGCCACTACTACTGTTAATTACCCTACTGCAGTTGAAGCTACTGCTACTGCTACCCCACTGCAGTTAAAGCTACTGCTACTGCTACCCTACTGCAGCTGAAGCCACCTCACTGCACTCCTACCTCTACTGTAGTTAAAGCCACTGCTGCTACTGCTACCGCGGTTAAAGCCACTGCAGTTGTGCTTCCTCTACCTGCGTTGAGCTACCGCTACCCTACCTGCACACTTAAAGCCACTGCTCGCTACTGCACCTCTTACTGCAGTTGAAGCCACTGCTACTACTACCCTCTACTGCAGTTAGCTAAAGCCACTGCCACTACTACCCCCACTGTAGTTAAAGCCACTATTACTGCTATCTCTACTGCAGTTGAAAGCCACTGCTACTGCTACCCCCACTGTAGTTAAAGCTGCTAAATCCCACTACTGCTACCCTTACTGTAGTTAAATCCACTGCCATGCTGCATACCTCTACTGTAGTTGAAATACACTGCCACCTCCACTGCTGAAGCCACTGCTACCCCTACTGTAGTTGAAGCCACTGCTACTGCTACCCCTACTGTAGTTAAAGCTACTGCAGTTAAAGCTGCCACTACTACAATTCTTTAACAAGCTACTGCTGCTACTCTACTGCAGTTAGACTGCCACTGCACTGCTACTGCTCCTACCGTTACCTCTACTGCAGTTAAAGCCACTGCTACCTCTACTGCGGTTAGAGCCACTGTAGAGCCTAATACACTGCTACCTCTACTGCTAGTTGTTAAAGCCATTTACCTGCTACCTCTACTGCGGTTAAAGCTACTGCTACTGCTACCTCTACTGCGGTTAAAGCTACTGCTACTGTTACCTCTACTGCAGTTGAAGCTACTGCTACTGCTACCTCTACTTCATTTAAAGCTACTGCTACCTCTACTGAGGTTAAAGCTACTGCTACCTCTACTGCATTTAAAGCTACTGCTACCTCTACTGCGGTTAAAGCTACTGCTACTGCTACCTCTACTGCGGTTAAAGCTACTGCTACTGCTACCTCTACTGCAGTTAAAGCTACTGCTACCTCTACTGCGGTTAGAGCTACTGCTACTGCTACTGTCCCACTGCACAGCCACCACTGCTACTCCCACTGCGGTTGTTACTGCAGAAATAGCTCACTGCCTACACTGCCATTTAAAGCCACTGCTACTACTCTACTGCGGTTAAAGCCACTGCCACCCCACTGAGGTTACTGCAGCTTACCACCTACTGCATTTAAAGCTACTGCAGTTTCATCACACTACACCCCACTGTGCTTCTACTGCTACCTCTACTGCATTTCAAAACTGCTACTGCTCCCACTGCTCACCCATCACCACTGCAGTTAAAGCCACTGCTACTGCTACTCTCTACTCTGCAGTTAAAGTTACTACACCTCCCCTCTACTGCAGTTAAAGAGCTACTGCTACCTCTACTGCAGTTAGAGCCACTGCTACCTACTGAATGCAAGCCAACCCCACTGCATTTAAAGCTACCGCTACTACCACTCCCCTGCTGCTAATTCTACTGGTTAAAGCTACTGCTACTGCTACCCCCACTGCAGTTAAAGCTGCACAATTCCCACTGGTACAGTTACACTGCCTCTACTGCAGTTGAGCCACTGCCACTGCTACCCCACTGCAGTTGCCAAAGCATCACTAAAGCTACTGCTGCAGTTTAATGTTCTCACTGCAGTTAGAGCTACTGCTACTGCTACCTCTACTGCACTTAAAGCTACTGCTACCTCTCCTGCAGTTGGAGCTACTGCTACTGCTACCTCTACTGCAGTTAAAGCTACTGCTACTGCACCTCTACTGCAGTTAGAGCTACTGCTACTGCTACCTCTACTGCACTTAAAGCTACTGCTACCTCTACTGCAGTTAGAGCTACTGCTACTGCTACCTCTACTGCAGTTAAAGCTACTGATACCTCTACTGCAGTTAGAGCTACTGCTACTGCTACCTCTACTGCAGTTAAAGCTACTACTACTACTACCTCTACTGCAGTTAAAGCTACTGATACCTCTACTGCAGTTAGAGCTACTGCTACTGCTACCTCTACTGCAGTTAACGCTACTGCTACCTCTAGTGCAGTTAGAGCTACTGCTACTGCTACCTCTACTGCAGTTAAAGCTACTGCTACTGCTACCTCTACTGCAGTTAAAGCTACTACTACTACTACCTTTACTGCAGTTAAAGCTACTGCTACTATTATCGCTACTACTACCTTCGGGGTCAGGGAACATAAACAAACATCGAGGGTACATTAGCCTATGTGGCCCACGAGACCAGTGAACAACTTATACTGCCTATTTCAGAGGTTGCCCCAAGTCTAATCAGTGCTGGGCTGACAGCTCTCGTTGGAAGGCGAGATTCGTAAGTATTAAGCGTGGAAAGGATTGCATTTAATTTTCCCTGTTCTGTAATTTTAGTAACAATTGATCGTTAACATGGATGTGGCTCAAACGTTTCTTTCGCTTCAAATATTTGTGACGATAAAGGAAGCATCCAGGGTGACTATATTCTAAACGAAACATATGTTAAATTTAGTATTACACGTTCTTCGTAATGTACAGATTCTAGTTCTTCAATCCTCAAAACGTACTGCAATCCTTGAACATAAACCCTTGACCCCATTATAACGTTAGAAAAGAAAGATTTATGGATGTCAACTTGTTTATTGTGAATAACACGACGTTTCGGAGTGAGTATCAGGGGGAGTGATATATATATGTATATATATACATACATGAGACACTACAAAGAAAACATGTATAACAATGTTGAGGAAATGAATATGTAGTACACACGTGAGGCCAGCGATACGCTTATACAACATGGTAATAGATGTGATAGGATATAGAATACAAACACGGGGAGACCAATGGTACAATGATATAACATAAACCTGAGGAGGGGAGGCCAGTAATCTGCTCGTTGGATATACAATTCAAACATGAGGCCAGTGAGCAGAAGAGAAAAGGTGGTTCTAGATGATTTTAAAAGGGGTGTGACTCATGCAAATGAGTTAGCGGGTAGACACGACATTGCTCTGTCTACAGTACACAGAACTTTGAAGAAAATTCAGTCAGGAGTTGGGATAGCACGAGAATCGGGCAGGGAGGCCAAGGAACTTCAGTACTACAGATTGCCGGCGACTTGGTCAAATTGGTTCACGAAGATTGGGATAATGTTGCTGTTTTTCTGATGAAAGTTCTGTCTGGCTTTGTCTGAAATGTGTGAAAATTTGGACAAAAGATACCATGAAACCTTTCTACCAACGCCCAAAACATAGCCCGACATTTCAGATGTGGAGTGGGATATCATCACGTGGAGTGACGCCGTTATATATTTATATATATTCACTGGAAATCGGACAAAGGAACGATATGTTGATATGTTAAATGATCACCTCTTTCAACGGTCCGAACAGTGTATGAAGATTAACTGGATTTTCCATCATGATACCGACCCAAAACACACTGCGGGCTACGTAGAACAGTGGTTGTCGGACGAAAATATTCAAGTTTTAGACTTGCCCAGCTACAGCCCGGATCTTAAACCTATTGAGGATGTGAGGGGACTATGAAGGACAGAATAGACCAAAAAGGACTTAGAAATATTGAGGATATGAAGAAAGTATTGGTCGAAAATTGGGATACGCTGTCACACGATTTCCTACAAACGTTGGTAGTGTACCTAAGCGCATTCAGTCGTGTATTGCAGGGCAAGGAGGTCTCACAAAGTACTGGAAGACACTTAGACTGTAAGAGGATCATATCTCAACATATTCATTTAAGTAAAACTTCTATTGTATTTATACATGTATTATATATTTGCCGAAACAACATTCTCAATAATTTCTAGGAATACTATGCTCTTTATTCCAGTGTGCGTATTTGCACTGTCTAAATTCTATTTTAAGTGTTGATCTAGCAGATTGGTTGTTAAGTGTTGATCTAGCAGATTGGTTGTTAAGTGTTGATCTAGCAGATTGGTTGTTAAGTGTTGATCAAGCAGATTGGTTGTTAAGGGCTGATCTAGCAGATTGGTTGTTAAGTGTTGATCTAGCAGATTGGTTGTTAAGTGTTGATCAAGCAGATTGGTTGTTAAGTGTTGATCAAGCAGATTGGTTGTTAAGGGCTGATTAGATAGAGGGCTGATCTAGCAGATTGGTTGTTAAGTGTTGATCAAGCAGATTGGTTGTTAAGTGTTGGTTGTTTTAAGTGTTGATCAAGCAGATTGGTTGTTAAGTGTTGATCAAGCAGATTGGTTGTTAAGTGTTGATCTAGCAGATTGGTTGTTAAGTGTTGATCTAGCAGATTGGTTGTTAAGTGTTGATCAAGCAGATTGGTTGTTAAGTGTTGATCTAGCAGATTGGTTGTTAAGCTGATTGATTGGTTGTTAAGATTGGATTGGTTGTTAAGTGTTGATCTAGCAGATTGGTTTGTTAAGTGTTGATCAAGCAGATTGGTTGTTAAGTGTTGTCAAGCAGTTGATCTAGCAGATTGGTTGTTAAGTGTTGATCTAGCAGATTGGTTGTTAAGTGTTGATCAAGCAGATTGGTTGTTAAAGTTGATCTAGCAGATTGGTTTAAGCAGATTGGTTGTTAATGATCAAGCAGATTGGTTGTTAAGTGTTGATCTAGCAGATTGGTTGTTAAGTGTTGATCTAGCAGATTGGTTGTTAAGTGTTGATCTAGCAGATTGGTTGTTAAGTGTTGATCTAGCAGACTGGTTGTTAAGTGTTGATCTAGCAGACTGGTTGTTAAGTGTTGATCTAGCTGTTTGGTTGTTAAGTGTTGATCTAGCAGATTGGCTGTTAAGGATTGAATTAGCAGATTGGTTGTTAAGGGTTGATCTGTCAAAGAAATTGTTAGGGGTTACATGTAACAGCAGCTATGCTGTAGTTATTATTACAAGGAATATTAACCGTATAGAGGCACCCAATGGACAGAAACACATTGTCACAACACCTTCATTTTCGCCCATTTTAGAGTGCGGCGAAGTTTCCTGGATGATCTGAAGAACGCCCTGAAGACTCTTGGCCAACGTAAGCTCGTTAATGGTCAAGTGCTTCATTAAAAAGTTGCTTCCGGGAGAGTAACGCAAATAATGTGATTCAACTATTCTTTAATACATGTTCAGCGTATTCTGACTGACAAATACATATTGCTGGTCTGTTATAGCTGTCCGTTAAGTGAGGGACATATCTCATCAACTGATGAAGCTCATGTTACACTTGGCGAAATGAGAACCAATGAGTATGTTTCTTTCAATTGTTTTTACAGAGGCTCTTCAAGCAGTTGAGAGTGAGTATATAAATTACGTGCATAAACCAGCATTTATAGTCGTTTGATATTTGTAGAGAATAGAATGGTGAGTTTTCATTGAGTTTCATGATAATGTTGCCTTCGCTCTTCTCCGCGTATACCCCATGACTGCATTTTTCAAAGTCCCGTGGACTTTGTAGTTGTATTGGGTTATATTTGTATACTTTTGATTTCTTTTCCAGCCCTTGCACCAACACTCCTCGAAAGTGCACTTCCTGCTCTCCTCTCTAGTGTTGGAAAGCGTGGAGTGTGAGTTTCTGTGCCATTAATCATAATTTGATGTTATTGATGGTATTTAAAGTATAACCAGCTGTAGTGTTTGTACCAATGCTCAGTGTTGGCGATGACAAAGTGAAAGTGTTGTGCATGTTTGCTGACAGTGTGGAGGCGGGACTTCTGGGACATGTCAAGGATGAGATGCTGAGTGTGGTGGACAAGCTGAAGGAGTCTGTGGAGGGGGCAGAGAAGGTCAGTAGCAACATTAACAAATGAGTCCTGAGAGAACGTGACGTGACGTCACAAAAGGACTGTGTGAGTAGCAACATTAACACGTGGTTCCTGAGAGAATGTGACGTGACGTCACAAAAGGACTGTGTGAGTAGCAACATTAACACGTGGGTCCTGAGAGAATGTGACGTGACGTCACAAAAGGACTGAGTGAGTAGCAACATTAACACTGGGTCCTGAGAGAATGTGACGTGACGTCACAACAGGACTGTGTGAGTAGCAATAATAACACGTGGGTCCTGAGAGAATGTGACGTGACGTCACAAAAGGACTGTGTGAGTAGCAACATTAACACATGGGTCCTGAGAGAGAATGTGACGTGACGTCACAAAAGGACTGTGTGAGCAGCAACATTAACACGTGGGTCCTGAGAGAATGTGACGTGACGTCACAAAAGGACTTGTGAGTAGCAACATTAACAAATGAGTCCTGTGAGAACGTGACGTGACGTCACAAAAGGACTGTGTGAGTAGCAACATTAACACATGGGTCCTGAGAGAATGTGACGTGACGTCACAAAGGACTGTGTGAGCAGCAACATTAACACGTGGGTCCTGAGAGAATGTGACGTGACGTCACAACAGGACTTGTGAGTAGCAACATTAACACATGGGTCCTGAGAGAATGTGACGTGACGTCACAACAGGACAGTATGACAGGTGTGAGGACTTCAACTTTCCAGGAGTCAACGTTCTCTGTATGGAGCAAAGTATTCCAGTAGGTCATTTCATAAACACTTGTGATGCAATCGATCATGGTCCTTCAATGAAGACATTTTATAGAATGTCATATAATTCCTGTTCAAATGTTGTCCCATTCCTAGGCACATATTCATTATATATCAGGAGTAAATCCTGCAGCCACTGTACATATCCCGACATATTAAACACCAAAACGTCTGTCACTTTTCACAAGCTAATATCCAATAATGAGTATTATTGTATTGGTCATTTGTTCACATTCAAAACTCCAATTTGCCAACTAACCAGGTTTATCAGCATGACGGAAATCACGGAATAGAAATCTTAATATCAGGTGCAGCTGAATTTGTGGAAAGGTCACATGAACTTTGGAAATATATATATCAACGTTTTTATACGTGAATTCAGTGACCAAATGTCTAATATTTCCGTGTTAAGATCGCCACGAACCTTGAGAGCAATCTGAAGACGGCTGCCCAGGGTCTGACCAGTGGCCAGGATGTCAAAGCCGTCGCCCAGATGGTGCTGTCTACCCTGGAGGCCGATGTCAAGTCAATGATGGGTGTGTGCATAGGCAAAGACTCTTACTTCAGTACATGTGACTACGAACTATGAACCAGATTATGTTTCATACATGTGTCAACGTTTGACTAATACGATACTAACGTATGTTGCATTCACATATAGAACCTCACTGAGATATATATCCTTTACAGAGGACATGAGAAGATTATCTAGCCACATCATTGTGGCTAAGACCATACCCGACAACTCTGTTTTCTTGATTGTTTCAGACAAAGGCACATTTGACGTTGATATTGATTCGCTGATCAAGAATATCGTCCCAAACGCTGTTGCAAAGGTAAATATCATAATGGATTCCAATGAAGCCTTAGTAGGCTTCCACTCAATGACGTTATATTGATTCATATATTTACACATGAAGCAGTGTAATCTAAATCGCTCTCATTGAGTTTTACGTTTCACGATAGTGAACGTAGTTACACATGAGATGCAGCTTCCAGCTACGATGTCGACATCGCATTCGGGATATTCATGACAGTTCTGTATGTTTTCAGCTCTTCTCCAAGCACAGCCGTCGTTTTCTTATCGGCGATATTATCAACGGATTGAAAGACACTCTGGGTGACGTCCTTGGTCTCGTGTCTGGCACCGTGTTTGGGGATCTTACAACATTCCTGGGAAACATTGAGTCAACTGCTGTGCAATCTCTCAGCCCTGCATTGGATAACCTGAAGGGCCTTGCCCAGACAGTAAGTTCCGTGCAATCTTTGTAATCAGGGCCAGACAGAACGCTGTATAGAAACATTGTATTCAGTCATTCCTCTGAAGCACTGTGTTCAGTGTCTCTCACAATCCGTTCCTTACTGGATACCATGTTGGACTGAATGGTTCAGACAGTGGGTGCCCTTGAAGCGTTATATTCAGGGGGTTGCCAGGCCATTACATCTTGTATGTAAATAAAACATTATCAATAATTGTTAACATCCTCCAAGTTCCACTTTTCGTTTGGCCACAACCCGGCAGTAAGGTAACAGGGGTCAGGGGAAATGCTTATTTTGCGAAAACGGAATCTGGAATGGAATTAATTATGTTTATGTTATCTTTGCACAATTAGACATCACATATACAACATCATATCTTAATTTAACAGCATACACATATTGTGATTGTCACGTAAATGTTAACTTACCATCTTTTGACAAATCTTGATATGCATGACGAGGTGCTTGGTCTAGTGTAACTGCACGCTCTTACACGCTCTAACTCCTGTCTGTCCAGTTCCTGACCCACGCTGGACAAGCCACTGCACAGGTCGCTGCTGAGGCCGTCAAGTTCTTCCAGCCATTCCAGGCTGAACTCGGATCTGTCTTCACCCAGATCAAAAAATGTAGCTGCAAAACTGACGGGTGCCTGAATGTCAAGGGATGTCGAATAAAATAACATATGAAACATTGCCTCCTTGTTTGTTTCGGGAAACATGACTACAGAGAATCAAGTACAATAGGGGCGGCAACATACATAAATGAAGAGTGACGCTCCAAGACCATTTACTCCCTCCTTCAACCTAGTAGCACCAACACACTGCATACAGAATATATCTAACAACTTCTGTTCGAACGTGAAATAGACAGTGCTAGTTTATGGTTGAGCCAACCAAAACCAACTGAGACAATATATAAATCCAGTTGTCTTGAGAATTGTGACAGATTAAACAGGACACTGTTTTTGTTATGTCACATTTCCTGTTGTATGGAAATATTGTCTTAGTGATGCGCCCAGACAATTGAAGCATTGTTTTCATTGGGCTGCCAGGGCATTACATCTTGTACCTCATTGAAGATATGTGATTGTTTGGATAATCCAGTTGTTAAACTTGGCCGCTCGCATGCGGTGTATGGTAGTACACTTTCGACTTCTGAAAACATCTAGAGTCAAATTCGTATGACATAGTTGGGCAATTCTCGCTATTTTTCCTAGCAGTTAGGATTGTGTGAGTTGACCTTGTCCTAACTTTCCTATGTTTCTTAGCAGTTAGGACTGTGTCATTCAAACTTGTTCCACCCTTCATGTACAGTTAGGATTGTGTGATCCGACCGGGTTCCCACTCCCTGTCTGTGTTTATTAGCAGTTAAGATTGTGTGATCCGACCGGCTTCCCCACTCACTGTCTGTGTTTATTAGTAGTTAAGATTGTGTGATCCGACCGGGTTCCCCACGCCCTGCCTGTGTTTATCAGCAGTTAAGATTGTGTGATCCGACCGGGTTCCCCACGCCCTGTCTGTGTTTATTAGCAGTTAAGATTGCGTGATCCGACCGGGTTCCCCACTTCTTGTCTGTGTTTATTAGTAGTTAAGATTGTGTGATCCGACCGGGTTCCCCACGCCCTGTCTGTGTTTATCAGCAGTTAAGATTGTGTGATCCGACAGGGTTCCCCACTTCCTGTCTGTGTTTATATGCAGTTAAGATTGTGTGATCCGACCGGGTTCCCCACTCCCTGTCTGTGTCTGATAGTAGTTAAGATTGTGTGATCCGACAGGGTTCCCCACTCCCTGTCTGTGTTTATTAGCAGTTAAGATTGTGTGATCCGACCGGGTTCCCCACTTCCTGTCTGTGTTTATATGTAGTTAAGATTGTGTGATCCGACCGGGTTCCCCACTCCCTGTCTGTGTTTATTAGCAGTTAAGATTGTGTGATCCGACCGGGTTCCCCACTCCCTGTCTGTGTTTATTAGTAGTTAAGATTGTGTGATCCGACCGGGTTCCCCACTCCCTGTCTGTGTTTATTAGCAGTTAAGATTGTGTGATCCGACCGGGTTCCCCACTTCCTGTCTGTGTTTATATGTAGTTAAGATTGTGTGATCCGACCGGGTTCCCCACTCCCTGTCTGTGTTTATTAGCAGTTAAGATTGTGTGATCCGACCGGGTTCCCCACTTCCTGTCTGTGTTTATATGTAGTTAAGATTGTGTGATCCGACCGGGTTCCCCACTCCCTGTCTGTGTTTATTAGCAGTTAAGATTGTGTGATCCGACCGGGTCCCCCACTTCTTGTCTGTGTTTATTAGTAGTTAAGATTGTGTGATCCGACCGGGTTCCCACTCCCCTGTCTGTGTTTATTAGCAGTTAAGATTGTGTGATCCGACCGGGTTCCCCACTTCCTGTCTGTGTTTATATGTAGTTAAGATTGCGTGATCCGACCGGCTTCCCCACTCACTGTCTGTGTTTATTAGTAGTTAAGATTGTGTGATCCGACCGGGTTCCCCACTCCCTGTCTGTGTTTGATAGCAGTTAAGATTGTGTGATCCGACCGGGGTTCCCACTCACTGTCTGTGTTTATTAGCAGTTAAGATTGTGTGATCCGACCGGGTTCCCCACTCCCTGTCTGTGTTTATTAGCAGTTAAGATTGTGTGATCCGACCGGGTTCCCCACTTCCTGTCTGTGTTTATATGTAGTTAAGATTGTGTGATCCGACCGGGTTCCCCACTCCCTGTCTGTGTTTATTAGCAGTTAAGATTGTGTGATCCGACCGGCTTCCCCACTTCCTGTCTGTGTTTATTAGTAGTTAAGATTGTGTGATCCGACCGGGTTCCCCACTTCCTGTCTGTGTTTATATGCAGTTAAGATTGTGTGATCCGACAGGGTTCCCCACTTCCTGTCTGTGTTTATATGTAGTTAAGATTGTGTGATCCGACCGGCTTCCCCACGCCCTGTCTGTGTTTATATGTAGTTAAGATTGTGTGATCCGACCGGGTTCCCCACTCCCTGTCTGTGTCTGATAGTAGTTAAGATTGTGTGATCTGACCGGGTTCCCCACTCCCTGTCTGTGTTTACTAGCAGTTAAGATTGTGTGATCCGACCGGGTTCCCCACTCCCTGTCTGTATTTGATAGTAGTTAGGATTGTGCGATCCGACCGGGTTCCCCACTCCCTGTCTGTGTCTGATAGCAGTTAAGATTGTGCGATCCGACTGGGTTTCCTACTCCATGTCCGTGTTTGATAGCAGTTAAGATTGTGTGATCCGACCAGGTTCCCCACTCCTGTCTGTGTTTGAAAGCAGTTAACATTGTGTGATCCGACCGGGTTCCCACTCACTGTCTGTGTTTGAAAGCAATTAAGATTGTGTGATCCGACCGGGTTCCCCACTCCCTGTCTGTGTTTGATAGCAGTTAGGATTATGTGATCTGATCTGGTTCCCCACTCCAGGAAGTCCTGGGGCGGTGGGGTAGCCTAATGGTTAAAGCGTTGGCTCGTCACGCCGAAGACCCGGGTTTGAATCCCCACATGGGTACAATGTGTGACGCCCATTTCTGGTGTCCCCCGCCGTGATGTTGCTGGAATATTGCTAAAAGCGGCGTAAAACCAAACTCACTCAGTCAGTCCAGGAAGTCCTGAAAATCTTGAAAAAGATATTCCGGGAATAGGACCCAGCGCTCAAGTGCTTGGCAACAGAACACTCTCTTTAGAAGAGGTTGACGGATTTCCAGATTTTTACTATATCAAGGATAATTTTAATGGAACGATGCCTAGAAGGCCTACACCTTAACGTATGTCTGATCTATCTTGATGACTTGATCATATTTTCCAACACGTCGATGTTGAACATGTTGATAGACTGAAACAAGTATTCCAGCGGATTCAAGAATGCGGATTAAAACTAACTACCAAGAAGTGCAAGTTCTTCCAAAGGAAAGTTCGATTAGTGGGGTACATTTTTTTAGAACATGGAATCGAAGCCGACCATTAGAAAATCAATAAGGTACAAAACTGGCCAACACCTACCAGCCCAGAGGAAGTCCGGAAATTTCTAGGATTTGCCGGGTATTACAGAAAATACATCAAGGACTTTGTTAAAATTGAGAAACCACTCTCAGAGCTTATGCCAAAGTCAGCTTCTACGAAGTCAAAGCAATCCAAGGAAGTTAAACGGAGGTAGGGATGAGCTCAACAAAGTGCTTTTGATGAACTAAAGCAAGGACTCTCTACGCCACCAGTACTAGGATATGCTGACTGTACCAAGCCTTTTGAACTCCACATGGATGCCAGTGGTCATGGACTGGGTGCCGTACTCTATCAGGTGCAGGATGGACAACCAAGAATTATTGCTTATGCAAGTCGAGGACTCAGTCTTGAGTTTTTGTGTCTGAAATGGTCCATCTCAGAGAAGTTCCACGACTACTTGCGAGGTCAAGACTTTGTTCTCGTTACAGACAACAATCCATTGACTTATGTGCTGACGAGTGCTCGATTGGACTCAACTGGTCATCGATGGCCATGGCTTGCTGCTCTCTCCAGCTATAATTTCAGCATCAAGTATCATCCAGGGAAATCCAACATCGATGCTGATGATCTCTCAAGGTTGCCAGTCAAGGAAGATGCTGATGATATGGATCAGATTGCGAAAGATCACGTCACAGCTATCTGTCATTCCGCCCATGCGACTAGCCTTGTGGAACGTTTATGTCTCTCTGTGGATGTCATTGAAGATGAAGATCATGACCTAATTGAGGACAGGTGTGAACAGAATGGAATGGAATGGAACAAGACCAGACCGGATCAAGTATCTCAATAATCACTGTTAAAGAACTACAGTCAGTTCAGACTCAAGCGAGGAGTTCTCTACGGACCGCCAATATTACTGGAGTTGACAGGTAACAAATAGTCCTATCTTCACAAGTAAGAACTGCAGCATTGAAGAGTTTCCATGACAATGTTGGTCACCCTGGAAGAGACCGAACAACATCACTCCTGCGAGACAGATTCTACTGGCCAGGGATAACACATGATGTGGAGATCCATCTACAAAATTGCCATTGCTGTTTGAGAAGGAAGACATCAACCAACATCAAAGCTCCTTTAACCAGCATCAAGACTTATGGGCCACATGAACTCTTTTGCATGGACTTCGTTTCTTTAGAGCCATCCAAAGGGAGAATAGAACATGTCTTGGTTGTGACAGATCATTTCACTCGCTATGCCCAAGCTTACCCAACCAAGAACATGTCTGCCAAAACAACAGCTGAAGCCTTCTTCAACAACTTTGTCGTCCATTACGTTCTTCCAAAAAGAATACATTCTGATCAAGGAGCCAACTTCGAAGATCATGTGCCAGCTTCTGAAGACAGAAAAGTCCCGAACAACGCACTCTTTGCAATATGATTGGCACTTTTGAACCAAATGAAAAGAAGAACTGAAAGGCACATGCCGGTCCACTCGTCCACGCCTACAACTGCACCCGCCATGAATCAACATCTATAGCTTTATTCTTCTTGATGTTTAGGAGACATCCAAGACTTCGAGCTCATCTAGCATTTGGATTGGACATGGAAATTCAAGAAAGCAAGTCCATAACGGAGTACATCTAATCCTTGAAGGAACGACTAAAACAGGCTTATGATCTAGCTTCCACAGCTTCACAGAAATCTCAGACCAAACAGAAGAGTTACTATGACCAGAA